CCATTGTGCCTTAGACACTCACCAAATTGTAAGTAAAGTGTTTGATTGATTGTTCAATTCTCTTGGGGCAATCATCTGTACAGTTTGTGGGGGGCGGGGGGGGGACAGCTAGCAGGAATCAGGGAAGCAAGGACTAGGGTAACCAGCCTGAAAAATCAAGGGGAACAGGAATAGAGCAATCCTATGTATGACATCCTCAGGCTTCAGTCGTGTGTGTGTGTGTGTGTGTGTGTGTGTGTGTGTGTGTGTGAGATACCTCTTTATAGAGTGAGCCTCGGAGGAGCTGTTGAGGTAAATATTTCAGTGGATCTAAGGCTGGATTTCTGAAACTTATAGAAGTAGCTAATATGTATCTGGGTTATATGTGTATGCAGGAATTTCTACAGATATCGTTACTCTTCTAACTGGTTATAAACTGTATTTTTATTTAATCTAGTTTTTTAGTTACCTCTGTTACAAATGTAAGCCTGTTGTCACTGCCAATGATCAAGGGTAGGCCATATCTAGGGATGAATTTTTATAGAAGGACCCTACAAACTTTTCTTCTTAGTACAGGTAAGGAATGGGAGGTCAGGGCCAGTGACACAGCTTGATGCAGCTGCAGAGGTACAGGTGCTAGCATAGCAGCTCAAGCTTGCAGAGCAAATGACAGGGGCAGGTCTGTCCCTGAATTTCCAGGAATACTGGGTTTTAGTCCATTGGATCCCTGGAGGGGGCTTAGGCCCCTGGACAGGATTAATTTGTATCACTGGTGCAGGCTTCTAAACAGCAACAGGAAGCCGTTTGCTGTGCAGATCATGGAGTTTTGGCCAAAATAATTTTGTCCTAGGTGACCACAGCATATCTATCTTGTCAGACTTTATTCCTAACAAAGTTACTTCCATCCATAAACAGAGTGTACTCGGCAGATATCGTGGGGTCCATTTTGTAGAACAGTTCATCCAGTATAGCATGTAGCACCTGGATGGTTAGGTCTTGGCCTGAGGTCAGCTTGTCAGCTTTCTTGGTCAGAGGGACAGTGGCTGTTAGAGCACGGAGGAAAAGAGGGAGACAGCCCTTAGAGGCCACTGTCAATCCCAGGGACTGACAGTCTGACTAAGCACACAGAAGCCAGCAGCTCCAAGAAATTTATGGGGTTTCTTTCTTGTAACAAGTTTCTATCAGACATTATAGCAGAGCTTTCATGTACACAATGTATACAGAGGGTAGTCATGACTGGTGGCACTGGCAGCTTGGAGATCTTAAACTGGCTTTACAAGCAGGAGAGGTGTATGGATTGAGGAGGGGTTGCCTTGCAAAAACGCTCCACTACCCAGGGATGAGTCCTCTGTCCATACTTCTCGAAATGAGCATCTCAAAATTTCAGGGTTATGATTATTAAGCATTTCAGGCTGATGTAAGCACTATTCTTCCTACCTGGAAACAGAGTCAACATCAAGTCTAGGACAGTGGACCCAAGTGTGAAGGAGACTGGTCATACCCTAGGAAAGGTATAGGGCACTCAAGTATGTACAGGAATTTGCTTGATAGTGTCCATCAATCTCACAGGATCTGCTTTGGCAGAATTTCTTCCTCATGGGGGCTCCAGTGGGTGACTTCACTAACTTTAGACATGTTTATTGGCTTCTTGCCTCCCCCTCTTTGAGACCTGCCAGGATAGCAGTATCGTACTGATCTAAGGCTTCATGACTCTCTGTCACATTATAGTCCCTATTTGGACATGCTCAAAGGAGGACTATGTTCACCTACACATCAGGATCAACCACAGTGGTGGGGACTTTTGACTTTAACCAGGCTTGGGCCCCATCTAAAATACAGCAGCATTCTTCAGTATTAAACAGAGTTAGAAGGAGTTGCTCACAGTTGTCTTGTGTTGGCAGGCAGGTACACAGGTGTGGAGCCAAGGTGGGAGAGTTCTTAACCCCATAAGGCAATTGAGTCCAAGTAAATTATTCTGAGAGAGCAGGAGGTTGTGGTTCAAGAGACAGAACTGGCAGTGGTGGCATCACAACTGGCTGACAACTTGTGGTTGACGAAAGTGAGGAGGAGGCAGGTCAGACTTGGGGTCCTCAGGCAAAACAGGAGAAAGTTTTTCTGGCTTGGGCTGAATTTGAGAGCCTCTCAGCCAATGATGGTACCAGGGCAGAATTCTCATGAAGAATGGACTGTTGTTTTTGTTTTCTTTTTTTTTTTTTGAGATGGAGGAAGCAGTTTGGTTTCATTCTTAACTCCATAAAAGATTCTTCCTACAGTCAGGGACTGTGGGGTTTAATTTATTAGTTTCCATTTTGTCTCCCTATGGTGTATATTGTACTCAGGTAATAGTACCCTTGAAAGATGGGGCAAGAGACAAAGGGCAGGTTACCCTTAGAGAGAAACCATTAAGATGCCTGCCTAGCCAAGCCCCTCACAAGAACTTTGGCATGACTTAACTAAGGAGGATACAAGGCCTTCATTATACCCTATGTTGACTGCCATGGAACCATAAGTGAGGGCCCAATCAACCCCTGCAACTGGTGCACAGACAGAGCAGCCTATTGCTTAGACTGTCCAGTCCACTCACTAACATCTTCATTCAGCAGGCACTCAGAGGTTAAACATTCCAACCCCACTTCCCTTGAGGGTAGCCTTAACTAACAAGAGTTGATGAAGCTCTTCTGCACAAACTGAGCAGGACTGACAGACTCACTAACTGGGGTGTCCCCAGGGATCTTAGCAGAATCAGGCAGGCAGACAGACAGATAGACAAATTATATCCTCCTCTCTTTGGGGCCTGATGTGAGCCACTTGAGAAAGGAGCCAGGAATCTTTCTCCAGACCTCTGAGGAGACTTGAGAAATCTCAAGGACACGCCTTCCCATCGGGACCTAGAGATATCCTTGCTCCAAGAGGGCCATGACTGGTAACCAAAGAGGTTAGCACAGTCGGTTTCCTTCCCACCAATACACCACATACAATGGCAAGCAGAAACACCAAAATGACAGTCAGGATTTGGAGGCAGATATAGTTACACTGATGGGCACTGATTGGGATCAGTTACAGAATATCAGGCCCTAATCCCTGATGGACTAAGAGACAGGAGCAACTGGACCTACGCTTGATCTTAGCCAAAAGGCTGAAAAGCAATGAGCAACTGGATCTGGAACAGGAGATGTTAACTGGGCAACTAACAAATTGAAGTATACTGGCTGGGGTGGAGGCATCTTCTGCTACAGTTATATAGCCCAGGCTGGCCTCAAACTCACAGTGATTCTCTTGCCTAAGTTTCTCCAGTACTTGGATTACAAACCATGCCTGGCTCTAGAATATGAATTTTTTAACTCTAAGAAAGGTATGACTGTCTCAAGTTAGCAGGTTAAAACATAGTAATATCAAAAGTGTATTTTGTAGCACATTCCCTTGATATGCTATAATAAGAATAACAGTTCTATGACTTTCCTCCTCATAATCCATAACCCTAGTGTAATCATGACAAAAATCAGCCAAACATCAATACAGGGGCAACCTACCATTCAACACTATCAATGTGATCCAATCAAGAAAATTCTCAAAAACTGTCACAGATAAAAGGAGCATAAGGAAATATGACAAGTAAAGGTAAACATGGTAATCTGTGAGGAATCCTAAAACAGGAAAATATTAGATTAAAAACTAAGAAAATCATCCAGACATGGTAGCACACACCTGTACTCCCAGGATGCAGGAGGATGAAGCAGGATTGTTAAGTTTTTGAGGCCAGTATGAGCTATATATTAGTGAGTTCAAGGCCAGCCTAAACTATATAGAAAGATGCTATCTTGATCAATCAATCAATCTACTTATCAACATGAAAACTAAGGAAATCTGCCTGGCATGCCTGTAATCCCAGCTATTTAAGAAGAGCACATATTCAAAGCCAGGCCGAGCCACTTGGCAAGACCTGTGAAGGAAGGATGGAAGGAAAGGAGGGAGGGAAAAATAAAATAAAAAATAAAAATATCTACATATACTATAAACTTTGGTTTCAAAAAATGATACAATATGGGGCCAGGGAGATGGCTCAGTGGAATAAGCACTTCCCTGACAAGTGCAAGGGCCTGAGTTCAATCCCCAGTTCCGCCTAAAAAAAAAAAAAAAAAAAAAAAAAATACAATATACAGTATAATGCTTCAGGGATTTCTCCTTGCTAGGAAAACATTTAATGGTATAATACATGAATGCACAAGCTCTGGAGCCCCAGAAATGACAGAAACTTGTCTTATTTGTATATGTCTCAAGATACATATTTTAAAATTTCTTTGAAACAGACTACGTTCCCAAGTAAATAACAAATGTAATAGGTTCAACACATCTGTGGCAAATACAGCTGTCATTTCAAAAGCTAGACTATCATCTTACAAGCTGGAGATGATAGAGCACACCTGTAATTCTAGTGCTCAGAAGGCTGAAGCAAGAGAACTGCTATGAGTTCAAGGCCAGACTGGGCTACATAGTAAGTTCAAGGTCCGTTGATCTACCTAGAAAGACTGCCTCAAAAAATAATAATAGCTGTGCGTGGTAGCACATGCCCATAATCCCAGCATTTGGGAAGCTAAGGCAGGAGGATCACTGTTAGTTCAAGACCTGAATGCACTACATAATGAGAACCTGTCTCTAAATAAGTAAATTAATTAGGGGTCAGGAGATGGCTCAGTGGAATAAAGGCTTGCCTGGCAAGCACAAGGGCTTCAGTTCAATCACCGGTTCTGCCAAAGTAATTAACTATTAATAATAATAGACTGAACAACTAATTTGAAGACATTATGCAATATAGCAACCATTGCTGAATTCCTATTATTTTGTCGAGTAAAATTCTCTATCATTTCTATTTTTTTTATTATTTTTTATTCTCTTTAAAAACAAAAACAAATACATAAAATAATAGAAAAAGAATATTATCTCACAATAATTATTATTTTCAACTGTAACATGACTATAGTAAGGACTTGAAAACCATTGTTTCAACCTTTATGGGCACAGAAATACATATGGGTGTACATACAGTTTGTATTATGTGGCACTGGACATTGGAATAGAAAATAATAAACTGTCTCAATTGACAATATAAATACAACATATAGGAAGAAACAGAATTTAAAACAAAAGACTACCACCAAGAATGTAAACACAAATTTATGTCAATGTCTTATTTTGCCTGCTTCTAAATTATAAAAAGTATTATCAGTATATAAAGCCACATAAAAATCTTTATGTAGCTAGGCATGGTGATACATGCTTGTAATCCCAGTGCTTGGGAGGCAAAAGCAGGAAGATTACCATGAGTTTGAGGCCAGCCTGTGCTACACAGTGAGTTCAAAGCAAGCCTGAACTACATAGTGAGACCCTGTCTCAAAACAAAAAATAAACAAACAAAATATATAGGTCAATGGCTCAGTGGAACAAGCACTTCCCTGGCAAGCACAAGTGCCTGAGTTCAATACCCGGTTCCGCAAAAAAAAAAAAAAAAAAAAAAAAGAATGACATTGCATGTCTGTAATCCCAGTACTTGGGAACCTGAGAGTTCGAGGTTAACCTGGGCTACACAGTTCAAAGCCAGCAGCCTACACTAAACTACATAGCAGACCTTGTCTCCAAAAAATATATATGCATCATTGAGGAGAAAAAAAAAATCTAACGAACCTTATCTAACTGCATGAAACTGATACTAATTAGGGAAAATATTTATATTCTTTCTGCATGTTTCACAGCACAGTATCTTTTTCAATGTTTTCAAACGAAAAGTTGAAAACTAAGAGAATATATAACTTTTATTACATAGATAAGCTTGACAGGCAGGACTCCTATATTATAAAAGAGGAATCTTAGACACTATTACCCGTATAAGGTCAGTCTATAAAAAGGGCTAAACCCAGATTTCAGATCGCCTAATTCCCCAGTCCATTATTCTTTATACCAAATACACTGTCCTGTCTTCTCTCTTAGCAACCTATTTTTTCATTATATCTGAGGAGTCAAGCTAATATTTTACCAAAGTATAATATATACTATAATATATAAATAGCTTGCTAGCTATTTACTTTTATTCTAAAAAGCAGAAAAGAGAAGGTCATAACTTCAATGTTAGGCCAAGGGAAATGAACATAATGCTCTGGGCCTGACTGAGAGGTAGGACAGTCAAGATAGATGAAAGCTTTGAGAATCTGAGACCACTCTACGATGGCATGCAACAGCAAAAGACAAATCTAGGGTACATATTCACCTTAGGAGAATTTACTTATTTACTTTCTACCCACTCTTTTCAAGCCTACTGACCAGACACCAATCAAGAATCAGTATTGGAGAGCACAGAGGGAGGAGATGGAAGAATAATCAAAGCCTGGATGCCATTCCATGTGTAAGCTTAAGGCGGGAATATTATGAGACAAGAACTCTTACTTATGGAAGAGATTTTGCTTTCTATACTACAGAAAAACAACTAAGTTGATAACCTATCTTGTCTCAAACAAACACAGGAAACAACAGTAAGGGCTCTTCAGGTGAAAATTTGATAAACAAGTAGAAAGATCTGCATTCTCCTTTCAGCAGGCAAGTAACAGTATTGTTATTATTTCTATTATGATTATCACTTGATTATACAAAAAAGTTACTTTTGAGATTCAAAAATCTCAATTAAGAGACTTGCCTAAGTGATAAACTGACTTGCCTAAAAATCACATTGATAAAAGGCTACTGACCTCAAACATAATCTTTCAAGTACCATATTTAAAAGAATTATCAAAATATAATTCCGGCAACTAAGTCCAAGTCCCCTTACCTGTAGTGCACTGTTGAGGAAGCAGCTGTTTTGCCCAGGCTCATTGCTGAGGCCTTTGCTTGGGGCTATGGAAGTTGAGCTTCGAGGAGCAAACATCCCTTGAACAGTACCACGGCCTCCTGAAAAATAATTTCTTTTCCAAGACATTATTGTTCAGATTTAGCCTGAAAACACAAAGAAGGCTTTGTATCTTTTTGGCAGGGAATATTCATCTGCTGAAGTCCTCAAAGAAAGAGAATCCAAAACTCAGTGAGTTTATCTTGAAAGATTTTGAGTTTATAACCTTCCAAACAACATATAATCAGCACAAGAAATTCAGACACTCTCTTAGATCCAGCACTGTCCCTCACTTACTCCAGTCAGAATGTGACACAGCATAACACAGGATAGAGAAGTGCTCAAGTTCAGCTTCCTTCTGTTTTTCAAAATAACTCTCCAAAAGTCCTAGTGAAATGGATGGAATCCTCAACTCCAATAGCATCCACGATCAAGGTAAAACATGTTCTTCAGTGTTGTTCATAATGCGTCCTATGAAGTGAAGATTTTTCCAACTAGAAGAGGTAGACACATAAACAAGAATCCAGCTTAACCTTCTTTGCCTCTAATACCTTGTCCCATCATTCTCTGGAACTCAAGTTCCGAAGAGTTGACAGAAATCCCACAAAGGCAAGAAGTTTGCTTGGATTATCCAGGGTTACTGTTGTTGCTGCTGTTGCTGTCGATGGTCTTTCCTGCTTCTTTTTAATATGCCCCCAAACTCTTCTATTGTCTCAATCAGACCTTCAGAAAGTCTCTTCTCTTTTCTTCTGGAACCAGAATAGCCAGCTGTGCTGGAGAGCTTTAACAGAAAGGAAAAAAAAAAAAAAAAAAAATCAAAAGCTTGCGTCACTTAATGACTCTACTGGCTTTGCACTGTTCTGCCAAGATCAACGTTGCTTCACCTCTCACTATAAACTTGAGACCTTGGCAAACAATGCCAAAAAGAAAAGAAAAATCCTAACAACAAAAATGAGAAACATTCAAATTTTTTAAAAAGGTGCGAGGAGCTTTACTTTCATGGAAAACCTCTGATAATTTTCTTAAGAAAGTTGATGTGGATATAAAAGCCAAATATAAGCTTTTCCCAGAATCAGGCTAACAAAAGTCACAACAAAATAAGAAAGAAGTCACCAAGTCCCCAAACACCAAATCTAGGAATTCCATTTATTTTGGATGCTGTGAGTAAACCACTTTTTAAAGGCGTTAACCACGGGTATGGTCATGAAGGATCTGCTTCTAGGTGAAAGGGATAAGGTAGCAGTGTTGACTATTCTGAGCAAAGCTGTCCCATCTGATAGAAACATTTGTAGTGAATAAAGGCCATATCCAAAACACTCAGTCCAAGAGAACTGTATTTCTTTGCCCTTGTTTGTCTTTTGCCAGAGCATCAGATAATTTAGGTTACAAATCATTTAACCCTCAGATTATATTAGAGGCTGAAAGCAGAGACCATCCATTGACCAACATGAGCAACACCAAAGCAACTACTTTCTTGGAAAGGAAATCATCTAATATCTAGTTTTTAAGATGTCCTATAAACTGCCATATCCACTTAAGGAAAAATTAAGAATGTGAAGTGTTAAATATCTAACAGTTAACACTTCTGCCTTCCCACCATATGCACCACTTAAAAAAACTGTTTTGACATCTTAATCATGCTCTGGGAGAGTACCAGCCAGTGGAAAAATTGAGGCATAGGAATACTAAATGGTTCCACAAGACTGTTCTTTCTCTTCTCTCAATTCCCACATTATAATAATCTTCATAAACTATATGTCACAATTAAAGTATTTGATTATACACGGTACAGTCATATTATTCACTGTTTTTATTGCTTTCCGTTTATTTTGCATCGTGTCAGTCATATATACTGAAATGATTATGAAACAAAATAATGAGTAATGTTAGCCATGTGCTAAATACTTACACTCTACTTAATCTTCATAATAGCCCCATCAAGTAGATAATAATAGTTCAATTTTGCACAAGAATAAAGTTTAAAGACATTAACTTGCCCAATGCAAAGCAAAGTGGCAGAGCTAGAATTGTTCAGCTATTACACTGTCATTTACTTATGTATTTTATTACAGTATTCCAAGAGTTCTTATCACAGGGCTTGTCATAAGGAGGCAGTAAGTAAACACTGCCCGATGATTAACACAACACCAAGCATGAACCCACATATCCCACACAGACTACAGACCCTTACCTCTGGACACACACCCTCATACACACCCACTCAAGGCTACTAAGCAACTTCCAACAGGCTGCGCAGCATTCCTTTAGGTCAACTGCTACAAAGGAATGACAAGTAACAAGGCTCCAATTTGCTCACAGCCAAAAGGACTTGGCAGGCAGGTAGGGTTTCCAGTATCCACATTAGGAGCTTGCTGAAACTCAGCCCACCCTATAACAACACATCCAAGTACAGGGTGCAAAGGAAAAGACAGCAACAGAAAAGGGAGTCTGAGGCTCTGAGCGAAGCAGTCATTATACAGGACAAGACAACAAGTTCTTATACTTGCTCTAAGTGTGTTACAAAGGAGAGGAAAGGGCCAGGGCTGAGCTCAGCAGCATGGCACCTTTCTGGCAAGCACAAGGTGCTAAATTCGACTCCTGGTACCAAAAAAAAAGAGAGAGCCAAAAAGATCATATGCAAGAGAGGCTTTGAAGGGCCAAGGGCATAGAGCTCAGCCGCGAGGCACCTACCTGGCAAATGGTCCTGAGTTCAATTCCCAATACAAAAAAAAAAAAAAGAAGAAGCAGTAAAAATGGTCCAGGAGGGCTGGGGAGATGGTTCAGTGGAATAAGTGCTTCCCTGGCAAGTGCAAGGGCCTGAGTTCAAACCCCGATTCTGCCCCCCCCAAAAAAAAGGTCCAGGAAAGGTTTTTTGATGACAAAAACCTTTCACTTAAAATTAAATGTTTACAATCCCAGCTACTAGGGAGGTTGTGGAAGAGGGATTGCAAGTTCAAGGCCAACCTGGACAATTTAGAAAAAACTGTCTCAAAAATAAAATAAAAAGGACTAGAGACATTCTCAGTAGTAAAGCCCTTACCTAACTTGTACAATGCCTTGCTTTTAATTCCCAGTTCTAAAGGGGGGTATTGCTGTAGCCCGAGCACCAATAGTATAGGGCTCTCCAGTCTCACTCACTGAAGGTATACAAGGAAGTAGAGTTCCATGTCAATATCACTCTATTTTTATTTATTTTATTTTTTTTTTTTTTTTTTTTTTTTTTTTTTTGCAGAGCTGGGGATTGAACTCAGGCCCTTGCGCTTGTCAGGGAAGTGCTTATTCCACTGAGCCATCTCCCTGGCCCCAAAAATGTTGCTTGCTTTCTTTCTTTTTTATTTTTTTTATTTTTTTTTTAAATTTTTTTTTCAATATCACTCTAACAACTTGTTTTAAAAATAAAAAATCTTTAGACAACACAGAATTAATGTAGGATAAAAGATGACCATGCTGAACCTGTCATTCCAACATATGGGAGGTTAAGGCAGGAGGACCGTAAGTTTGAGACCAGCTTGGGCTACATAGTGAATTCAAGGTCAGCCTAGACTATGTTGCAAGACCCTGACTCAAAGAATATATCTTCAACTTACTCTGAAACACTCCTAAGTACAAATATATAAAAAGACACATGATAAAGCAAAGATAGTAAAATGCTTATAAGTAAACCTTGCTAAAAAATATATGAGAATTCTTTGTACTTCGTATTTCTTGCAATTCTCTGTAAGATTTAAATTGGTTTTGTAAGCTAAAAGGGAACTTACCTCTCTAAAACATTTAAAATTACTCAAAAATTATGCATTATTATTCAACTCAGAAAACATGCTAAAACCTTAAATTGGTAGATAATAACTATGCTAGGTATTATTGGCAACCTCAAACTTGTGGGGGAACAAAGATAGAAAAAGTATAAGGGGCTGGTGAGATGGCTCAGTGGAATAAGCGCTTCCCTGGCAAGCACAAGGCCCTGAGTTCAATCCCCGGTTCTGGAAAAAAAAAAAAAAAAAGATAGAAAAAGTATAGTTATGAGGATAAAATAAAATGGAATACAGCTTCAACACTATCTCCATGAAAAGGGGAGCTCAGAGCCTCATGCGGTAGTGTATGCCTAAACTTCAGCTGCTGTGCAGGAGGAAGAAGAGGAGGCGAAGGAGGAGGAGGAGGAGGAGGAGGAAGAGGAGGACCCCAGGAATTCAAGACCATCTTAGGTAACACAACACCCAGTCTCCAAAAACAGGCAAAGCTGAAAGCACAGTACAATATCAATTTGGTATAGGGAGCAAATGATTCAGAGTAATATAATACAAGATGACCAGGGCTAGACTTGAAAACAAAAGACAAGCATTCGACTTCTACTTTTTTACTTCTTTATATAATCCCAATTGCTTGGAGCAGTGTTGTGAACTTTGCTTTTTGGGTCTGTAAAGCAGGAATAGTACCTGATTCACAGAGTGGCTGAGATACAGTGAATAAAATGAAAGTTCCAGCAATCTTAAAACTAAAAATACATGATGAATTTATTGAAAAAGTGAATTTCAATGCCTAAAAGTAGAAAAATAAGTTTTATTTTGGGTATGTTCATCTCCCTAGTTTATGCCCCAATTAAGTCCCATCTGAAATGCTACAATAGGTCAGTCTTTCTGGCCACCTGTATCTTAGCATATAATATAAGGAAAGTGTTCAAAGTTAGTATTTAGTTTATATCTTCAATTACTTATTTGTGTGCATTTTGTACAAAATAGGCAAGAACCTGAATTATTTTTTAACTGTTAAACTATGTCAGCTGTCAGCCACAATTTTTTTTTTCTTTTAATCTTTTTGAGACAGGGTTTCACTATGCAGTTCACAAGCCCTTGAACTCAAAGCACTCTTCCTGCCTCAGCCTCCCAAGTGCTAGGATTACAAGTATATGCCACCACACCCCATGCAGCTAAAACATTTTTGATAGGATGATTCCCATCTTCCCAGACCCCAAGAAAGGGAAAAATACCTAACCTGACCACTCCTGTTCAACATCACATTGAAGGTTTTAGCCAGTATAATACAGTAAGAAAAAGAAATGACAAGCACATCAACTATAAAGGAAGAGATAAAACTGTCTTTATTCACAGACCACATTATTTGTTTGTTTGGCACCAGGAATCAAAAACCCAGAGTCTTATGCTTGCCAGGCAGGCCCTGTGCTGCTAAACTACATCCCTGTTCCTTCACAAACAACACTGTTGTGTTTATTCTACATTTGAAAGTCTCAGATATTGTACCAAAAAAAGGTCTGAGAGCTAATAAATGAATTCAAGTACAGTGAAAAATACAAGTCTAATATTTTTTAAAGTCAGTGCTGGGGAGATATCTCAGCTGAATAAGCTCATGCCTGGCAAGCGCAAGGGCCTGAGTTCAATCCCTGGCTCTGCAAAAAAAAAAAAAAAAAAAAGTCAACTGTTTTTCTGTATATCAGTAATGAGTACTGGTAATCAAAGGTTTTTCACATTTAACGTGTAAAAATAGCTGGGTATGGCAGTACATGCCTGTAATCCCAGCACTCAGGAAGTTGAGGCAAGACAATTACCATGAGTTTAAAGCTAGCCTGGGATACCTGCTAAGTTCAAGACCAGACTAAACTACATAGTGAGTCCATGTCTCAAAAAACACTGGTTTCTGACATCTGCAAAGATGGCAGAGTGCTGAACAGCAGAGAAACAGCTTCTCTGAGATTGGGAGTCTAGAATATAGCAACATGAGGAAGAGAAGAAGGGAAGTGGGTTCCCAAGACCCAGCAAGCATCTGAAG